TATATATATATATATTATTTTTTGCTTTCCTTTTTTCCAAGGATGGAAAGGTGAAGCACATGGCAGACTACACTTGACTGTGGTGGGTGATTCGGAAAGCAAGCAGACAATAACTACACAGATCTCGCAACGGGAGGAAAACTTGGAACGATTACATTGTGAGCAGTTCCGACTTAGGTGCTACATGGCGTCACTCCAGAACAGTGAGCTACCAAATCCTAAGGTAATGTGTCACAACTGAAAAACTAAAACATTAACGTTAAATATACGCCATTTTCCAGTTTGACTCTCAGATGACCGACTTGTTTTTATACTACTGGTGTGGTCCACATATTGCATCATATTAAGTAATTTTACGTTTTTGCCTATTAAAACAATTAATGTAAAGAACCGACGGATAAAAATCGGTAAAACCACTCATTTTGTTTGTAAAATACATAAGGAATTTCAGCAGTAACTGATAGGATTAATTACATTATTAAGGTATTAAGTTTTTGTGATTCTTGTGTTATTAAGAACTCTGTAATCAGTATAGCCAGTGTGATTAACAAGGAATAAATCGTAAATTCATATTTTGAACATTAAGTTCCTCATCAAACCCACTGTGTGTAATAAGTTAGTACAATGTTTGTAAAGTATCCTTAATGATGAACTTGACCGTACTAAACCGATAGTCCTCTGGTCTTTATGCTGCGTATTAGATAAACTGATGAACCTGACCGTACATCTAAACCTTGTATGTGCTAGGTACTTCGTATGTTTTTTATAATTCTGGTCGTACATCTAAACCTTGTATGTGCTAGGTACTTCGTATGTTTTCATAATTCTGGTCGTACATCTAAACCTCGTATGTGCTAGGTACTTCGTATGTTTTTACAATTCTAGTCGTACATCTAAACCTCATATGTGCTAGGTACTTCGTATGTTTTTATAATTCTGGTTGTACATCTAAACCTTGTATGTGCTAGGTACCTCGTATGTTTTTATAAATCTGGCTGTAACCTTGAGCTTCTTATAATTTCCTGTTTTCAATAACTTCTTAGTAAAACTATTTTACTGAATCTAATGCAATAAGGAACTTTTTTATAACAAGTTTTTAAGATACTGATATTCAACTAAACACAAAATCATTTCAAAACCCAATGTACATAAAAATCATAAAATAATTAAATTTTAACTGATGTATACACTGATTTCAGATCAAAATAAAAGGGAATCCTCAATAGCTGCGGCACTTGAAATTTTTTTAGGCAGGATTAGAGTAAATTAATCTATGAGATATTTTTTCCCTTTTTATTAGCTATATTTTCGTGCGCCAGTAATATTAAGCGTGGGGCGCACGTATACACGATTCAATTTTATTACTCATCAGGATCTCCGCCATCTTACCCTCAAATTGAAATTATTTTAGGCAGGATTAGAGTAAACTAATCTATGATACCTTAGGCGTGGTCAAATAATCAATTGAAAGAGTTTGACCTTCTGAGTCCAAAACTGTAATTATATCTCAAATCGGTCAAGAGATCACGGAGTTATGAGCTAAAATGAGCCGCTATGTCGCAGCTAAAAATCAACAAAATAACAAACCTTCTCGAACAACGTCATCCTTATCATGGCATGAATGTAGATTGTACATCTCCTTCCTACGCCAAATTTTTAGAAAGTACGTACAAGTAAGTGTTGATTGAATTCGACAGTTACACTCTATCTCACGGTACGAGAAATACATTTTTTGTTCGTTTAATACATCAATTGTTTTATAAAAAATATGTCTGTTTTGTCGTCTTATTTCATCTTGAGACAACCCCATCAATACAATGGATGTTTTCATCTAACGTTTATTGTTTATTTTTGTTACCTAAAACTGCACAATTAGCTATCTTCGCTGTTACCCGCCGCAAGGGTTAAAACATAATTTCAACGTTATAAGCCCTCAAGTTTACCGCTGAGCCAATGGGGATAGGCAACGTTTATCTCAAAACAACAGATATTTTATCTTCGTTTTCGATGATTTGACAACTTAGAGATAAAATTTAGTTTGCTGAAGTATACTTTATGACATTAAACCAGATTAATAGATAACTAAGTCCTAGCTTCTATCGTTAATGCGCAAAGATACACTCTGTACATATTTGGATTTAGTTCGTTATTGTATATATATATATATATCCACTATATTGAGATTAAGCCATTATATTTGATATCCAGTTCTAATTAACAGAAAATTCTCGTTAGGGTTGTTAAAGTGGAAAATTCAATTTCCGGTAGAGAGGGACGATTTTTGTTGCTGTTTTGTTTTTGTAAGTTATACTCTCATACGTGAATTAATAATGTTTCTGTGAGTACAGTGCCTTCAAGTATACGGTAATCGGGTAAAGCCGTACATTCGGCCTTACGTCAACAGCCACAAATATATTATTGTTACATCTCTGGTCGTTTATTAATTTCCCGTAAAAATTATTTACGAAAAACTTCAGCAATACAAGTCCTTTCTTAAATAAAACTAGTTTATTCTTTCTCAATACAACTTTGCAATACACTTAATTTCCACAGTCACTTTAACTTAAACACACACTATAATTCACAACGATTTACACACTTTACTTACGGCTTGCCTCGATTATCCCCGTTATCAATTTATCTGCCGGCTTATATGATAAAATAGAGGGTGCCTAGAAAAGACTAGAGTTGCGAGGAACAGTCATGATCCTTCTAGAAACTCCAGCGCACATGCTTCCAGCGTCACGTGATTTCCGCTGTCGTAACATTATGTACTGCGACCGTAGATCCAACACGCATAATATTACCGCCGGTATGCTTTCATTTTGATTCTTTTGTTCGTACTTCCTGTCTTCTGTATCGTATATACTGGTATATATAAGTCTTGATATACACATATACAAACGTATGTATTTATTACATATTGTAAGACAAGAATGGGAACACACAGGGATTAGTTACTTCTAATTTACCAAGCTTTTTAACCTGGTTATCCAGTAAGGGAAACTTCAATGTATATAATAAAGGAACTCTCTGTAGGCTTAAAAACTCCAGAATAGCAAGATAAATATTTACAGGCTACACTCTAACCTGCAGTAATTATTGACATCTCTACAGGCTACAGACAGTCCAGCCTGCAGTAATTATTAACGCCTCTACATGCTACAGTCCGCCCTCGCATTAATTATTGACGCTTCTACGGGCTACAGTCTAGTCAGGCAGTATTTATTGACACCTCTACAGGCTACAGTACGGCGTAGCAGTAATTATTGACGCTTCTACGGGCTACAGTCTAGTCAGGCAGTATTTATTGACACCTCTACAGGCTACAGTACGCCGTAGCAGTAATTATTGACACCTCTACAGGCTACAGTACGGCGTAGCAGTAATTATTGACACGTCTACAGGCTACAGTCTAGTCAGGCAGTAATTATTGACATATCTACAGGCTACAGTCCGGCCTGCAGTAATCATTTACGCCTCTACAGGCTACATTCCAGCCTCACAGTACTTAATGACGCATCTACAGACTACATTCCGGTCTGCAGTAATTATTAACGCCTCTACAGGCTACAGTTTAACCTAAGAGTGTTTATTGACGCGCTTACAGGCTACAACCCGGCCTCGAAGTACTTATTGACGCGTCTACAGGCTACAGTCCAGCCTCCAAGTACTTATTGGCGCGTCTACAAGCTGTAGTCTAGCTTAACAGTACTTTTGATGCGTTTATAGGCTACAGTCTAACCTGACTGTACTTACTAACGTGTCTACAGACTACAGTCTAGCCTGAAAGTCCTTATTCACGCACCTACACGCTACAGTCCGACCTGTAGTAATCAATGACACCTCTACAGGCTACAGCCCGGCCTGATAGTAATTACTGACGCGTCTACAGGTTACAGTCCAGCCTCACAGTACTTATTGGCGAGTCTACAAGCTGTAGTCTGGCTTGATAGTACTTATTGATGCGCCCATAAGCTACAGTCTAGCCTGACTGTACGAATTGGAGTGTCTACAGGTTTTACTCTGACCTGACAATACTTATAAATGCGTCTAGAAATTACAGTCAAGCCTGGTAGTAATTAATGACATTTCTACAGGCTACAATCCAACCTAGCAGTAATTAGTGATGTGTATACAGGCTACAGTCCAACCTGACAGGACTTATTGATGCGTCTACAGGCTGTAGTTTGGCCTGGCAGTACTTCTTGATGCATCTAAAGGCTGTAGTCTGGCCTAACAGTACTTATTGGCGTGTATACAGGCTACAGTCCAACCTGACAGTACTTATTGACGTGTCTACAGGCTGTAGTCTTGCCTGACAGTACTTATTGATGTGTCTACAGGCTGTAGTCTGGCCTGACTGTACTTATTGATGTGTCTACAGGCTGTAGTCTGACCTGACAGTACTTATTGACGTGTCTACAGGTTGTAGTCTGGCCTGACAGTACTTATTGATGCGTCTACAGGCTGTAGTCTGGCCTGCGTGTACTTATTGATGCGTCTACAGGCTGTAGTCTGGCCTGACAGTACTTATTGATGCGTCTACAGGCTGTAGTCTGGCCTGACAGTACTTATTGAAGCGTCTACAGGCTGTAGTCTGGCCTGACAGTACTTATTAAAGCGTCTACAGGCCGTAGTCTGGCCTGACAGTACTTATTGATGTTATTCTAACGTTCTTACCAAGTATCTATCGGAATCGTAGTCGAAAGAAAACCTAGCGGGTAATATATCAAACATCTCGACTTAATTGATATAGCTGTAAAACTAAACTTCTTTCAAGCTTGGGATACGTAATGAGTAAATATCCTAATAAATGATACAACTGTTTAATAAAGGAAACATCAGCTGACTCACTAACCAACTGTTTAATGTAGAAAATCTATTGTATCGTTATCTGGCTGTTAAAAATCACGCGATTCATGTAATTCTACTGACTTATTTCCTGACTGTTTAGTTATAAAGGAAAAATCAGGTTTCTTATGGTCTGTTTAGTAAAGTAAATCAATTGACTCTTTACCTGACCGTTTAATAAAGGAAACATGAGATGACCCATGATCTGTTTATTAAAGTAAATCAATTGACTCTTTCACTGACAGTTTAATAAAGGAAACATGAGATGACCCATGATATGTTTAATAAAGTAAATTAATTGACTCTTTCACTAACAGTTTAATAAGGGAAACATGAGATGACCCATGATCTGTTTGATAAAGTAAATCAATTGACGCTTTCACTGACAGTTTAATAAAGGAAACATGAGATGACCCATGATCTGTTTAATAAAGTAAATCAATTGACTCTTTCACTAACAGTTTAATAAAGGAAACATGAGATGACCTATGATCTGTTTAATAAAGTAAATCTTCTGACTCATCATCGAATTGCTGATTAAAGAAAGCATCTGTTTATTCAGGACCTGACTGTTTAATATGAAACATCTAATGGTGCGTGGTCAGACTGTTTAATCAAACTGTTCTTAAGGAAAAGAATCAAGCGCGGCCCAGTGGTTCACACGCCGGACTATCTATCGATCTGCAGGTTATTCATTCGTATCGCGTTACTCACTCCCCACCCCCCCAAAAAATTAAAGATATCGCGTTTCGTTCTTTGCGTTATATGGGTGAATGTCAAATTTCACTGTTCAGTAAGACAAGAGTAGATCTAGAGTTGGCGATGGGTGTTGTTGGCTAGTTGCCTCCCTTCTAGTTTAACAATTTAAAATTAGGGACGACTAGCGCGGAATAGTCTTGTAGTAGACTTGCGTGAAAACGAAAAACAAACTTACTGGTGGGTGAACTTGACGTTTAATGATTAAATCGTCTACTGATTAGTAGTAACCTGCCTATTTAAGAAGGAAAACACATCCTAGCATCTCATCAGACTGTTTAATCACGAAAATATCTACTAACTAGTAATCTGTTCAATAAAACAAATAAAAAAAATCTCTATTGACTCATAATCTTTCCGTATTTCAAGCAGTATAATATCTAATTATATTTATAATAAGAAATTAGTGTCCCCCGGTGTGACAGAGGGGTAAGGTTACAGACTTACAACACTAAAATCCAAGGTTCGATTCCTCGCGGCGGACACAATAGATAGCCAATTGTGGTTTAGTTCTAAAACAAAAAAACATTAGTATTAGGTCAATTATATTTTTAACACTACAATTCTTATTCAGTCTCATAGGACTTTTTTTAAAAGAATAAGACTGTGTAACAGAATTTCAAGCACGCTACATCCATCATATACATTACCGACAACGCGTTTAGCTTAATATAAAGCTCACCCATATACATTACCGACGACGCGTTTAGCTTAATCCAAAGCTCATCCATATACATTACCGACAACGCGTTTAGCTTAATCCAAAGCTCATCCATATACATTTCCGACGACGCGTTTAGCTTAATCCAAAGCTCATCCATATACATTACCGACAACGCGTTTCACTTAATCCAAAGCTCATCCATATACATTACCGACAACGCGTTTAGCTTAATCCAAAGCTCATCCATATACATTACCGACAACGCGTTTCACTTAATATAAAGCTCACCCATATACATTCCAGACGACGAGTATCGTTTAGTCCAAAGCTCACCCATCAGGCCTGTTGGGATACAACAAACGCAGAAGTTGTCGGAATACTATTTATATTAACCACTTGTAACAACAACATTTGTTATAGTGTGGAAGCCTTTTCTGTGGTGGCGAAGCATGATTATAATTAATCATAAGACATTAGCATTAGTATAATAGTTTTAGGCCCATACTATTTTAACACTACATTTCATATTTAGTCCCTTAAGGACTTTTTCAAGTACAAGAAGAGTGTATTATAGTATTTCAACACACTATGTCCGCCATATTTGTAAGATGCTCATTCTTTGCTATTGTTACCACGTGTAAAACATACTTTTATATATACATATCTATCACATGATTTTTAGCACATGTACTCTAATTTCGACACTGATAATTTTCAATTGCAAAGATGTACAGCAGTCATATTTTAAAGGAATTTTGTTTTCGTTTAAGTGCCTTAGTAATTTGTGTCTGCTGATCGGTTGCTTGAAATATCGTGCAGCTTATGGATCCAAGCAAGCTACCTACATAGATCAGAACTAGAAATTAACCAAGCAATTTTTAGAGCTACTTGAACATGCCGGTATTCCTTGAAAGATGCAATGCCATAAAGCAAAGATTAGAAGGCTACGTACACCCAAGTCAATAATGTGTGTGTGATACAGACTTTCAAATAAAACATAGAAGGAATGCTGTAAGCAAGCTACAATGCGCGAGAGGAAACTGTTGAGAAGAATTCAGGCCGTATTGTGAGACCCATTATTGTGTCGTTTCGTTTCAACAAAAGGGGTACTACGTATTCAACAACCTCGCAGATCTGGTATTAAAAGTTCTTGACAAAGAATTCTACAGTTTTTTGTTTTGTTTTTCACGGCACATCTAAATTTATCTGGCTGTTCACTAATTTATTCACATACCCGCTAAAGATAATTCAGCTATAATTTCAACCATATTTGCCTAATATCAACACCTATACAAGTCAAAGTAATTAAAACATTTCAAGAAAACTTTTCAAGTAATAAATGAAAGCATAACTTCACTTATACATGATGTCTAGAGGAAATGTGTTGAAAAATAAGCAAAATGTCTTTGATTTAATCTTGTTTTATAGAGTCGAAACTTCTTGCCTATCTAGTATATATTACTAGCTGGGGTACCGGTCCCCTGGACGGAAGTTGTGTAAATTCATGAAATATGAAAGGTTATCTTAAGACATCAAAAATTGCTTTCCTTATATGTAATTGTTAAAAATGTAAAAACGCTCAACAAAACTGCAAAACGCAAAGTGCAAAACTGAAAATTTGTATGTACTCCAGCATGAACCCAACAAACCTTCATGCCAAATTTGGTGAATATCCATCAATAGATGGCGAAATAGTGATAAAAACCGCAAAATGCAAAACTGTTTTTGTTTTGTTTTTAATTAATTAATTATGCACAAAGCTACACAAGGGCTATCTGTGCTCTGCCCACCACGGGTATCGAAACCTGGTTTGTAGCGTTGTAAGTCCGCAGACATGCCGCTGTCCCACTGGGGGGGGGGGGGGATGCAAAACTGAAAGTATGTATCTTACTCCCCATGAACCTATTAAAGCTCCATACTAATTTTGGTGAAGATCCATCCACACCCTGCGAAGTAGCTACATGAACATACAACAGAGAGTACCATTATATGTATATAGATACCAAGATTATCTTCACTGACTATGTAAACAGATAATGTGAAATGTACAGCCATATCTATATTTTGGTATAATAAAACATTACCGCATCACCCTAATTTATCAATCATAAGCAATACTTACTGTTTGTTATAACAATGGATATTTTTAATGTTAATTACATGAAATGTATTTGGAAATCTTTCTAAGTGTACAAAATGACAAATTAGTTTCATTTTGGATTATTTTATCTTAAAATATTTATTGTAGCGTATGTTTTTGTTGCAGGCTTAATATTTCCTGCAGTGAAAACACTGTAAATCAGCAATGTCTAGTTTTTGCGCAACTTATCTGATATATCACTGTCTAAGCAATGATAGATTTAAATTCAACCAAAAAGAATAAAACCTACAAAATGTTTTGGAGAGAACACTTTAACACACTGTCTTTGAGGATATTGGTTACATAAATCTACACAAAATAAGTAATGCCCCTTTTGTTGGATTGAAACTAATTTTCTAGGTACATATTTCAGATCAGCATATGGCCTAATAAGATTTAGAATCTGTTAAAGGTCGTCACAAGCGGAAGCTTGATATTCTGTCATTTTTTATCATATATTTAAAAAAATTTTTCTTATTGTATAAAACCCATGGCCCAACTACCGAAACGTCAATATGAATTTTTGTTTGGTGAGGACAAAATTCAAAAAGTAGGTTTATAAATGTAATTTGTTTAGCATTTTCGATTGTTAAATTGACACGAATTATGAATGAGCTTGGAACTTTTCACATTGAAAGTCTCCGTTTCTTTTCTTCCGACATTATAGTTGAAGAGCAGTAATTATTTGATATAATGTACAAGTAAAATGAATCACATCATGTATAGTCTTAACTAAAATTTATGTATAATAGAACTGGTAGCTTTGTAAATTACATCATATAGTCTTCATTAAACCTGGTGTATGGTAGAACTGGTAGCTTTGTAAGTCACATCACATAGTCTTCATTAAACCTGGTGTATAGTAGAACTGATAGCACTGTGAATCGCTTCACTTAATATATTCATTAAACTTGATGAGCCGATCCGTTTCTAAACCTTATCAGTAATAAGCTAGGTACTGCATTAGTCCAATACCTATGTGTTAACATAGTTTCTGCTTCATTACAACGTTTATCGGATGTCTATAACAACTGCACCGATCGGCAGAGCCGTATCATGAGTAGTGCGAGTGGTGAGTTCGTACAGGACGCCAGCACGAGGGGGTGAGGGCGGATTTATATATATCTCAGAGGGCGCCATTTAACATTGATACGGTACCACCGAATAGGTTTAGCGGGTGTTACATGTGACAGTGGAAGAGTTCATTATAATATACAGGTTGATGTGGGTGCGCTTGTTATTGTGTTTACGTGTTTGATTTACTGTTTTCCACAGAATTTGCTCACCAATGTGTGCAAGATGACCAAATCGACTTTGAATAAGCTTGGGGTATTTACGGTGTCGTCTTTTCATGCTTACGTTTGTGCTAGGAGCCCTTCTCTCCTAACGAACCTCCTGGCAGGTAGAGGCGCCACGAAACGACGATCTCGTGGATTGTTGTCGAGGTCGAACAGTGGAAGGTAAGTAAAGACATCTCTTGTTAAACTAGTCATCTACAAAAACAATGGGTGTCGTTATCACATCGCACCACAAGAGGTCACTCTTGTAGTTTCGACGGCTAAAAGCATATTCTTGAATATATTATATATGTTTATATTAAACAACGCCTTGTTGTGCTCGTTGCGTTGATATATAATATGCTCTGAATTTTACACTGACACAATAGGTATGTGGTGAGGGAGATAAGTTTGACCTGATTTGGAACAGCCTTATGATACGTTCAGATAATTTTGTACATGTAAGGGACGTTAATGTTTACAGATTTCAAAAAATGTGTAAAGATTACGAGGTATATTGAAAAATGTACAACATTAAGTCGGGTGGAAATTGTCCCTTTCATTTCATTCCAGTGGTCGTCGTAGCACTGTACTGTGTGGGGAGGGAAGGGGGGACTTAGAGCGTAGTGTTATGATATTATACATTGACATAATATAAGCATATTTGAATTGCAAATGAAGTTTAGATATATATCGGTTATTCGAAACGGCACTGGGTAATCTACTTATTACTAGAATGGAAGGGGGAACACATCAAGATTTTAGGGAGGGGGAGACTCTTCATTGGCTCTGTGGGGGATATGCATCCATGTTTCAGTCAGATGAGAGAACATGAATAAGTTGATCAAGAGAAGCTAACATCACCTTCACTATACAAGAGAAATCTAATAAATCCCAACACAGACCTATTTCAATACCTATATCCTACTTTTAAATCTTAGGAACCGTCAACAACCGTTCTATATACATTGTACATCATACTGTTAGTACATAGAAATTGTCAACATAAATCCTGTTGACATTGTACATCATACCGATAACACGTAGAAAGTGTCAACATACATCCTGTTGACATTCTACGTCATACCAATAGCACATGGAAAATGTCAACACATCCTGTAGACATTGTACATCATACCGTTAGCACATAGAAAATGTCAACACACATCCTGTTGACATTGTACATCATACCGATGGTATTTAAAAAATGCCAACACACGTCCTGTTGACATTGTACATCATACCGATGGTATTTAAAAAATGCCAACACACGTCCTGTTTACATTGTACATCTTACCGATAACACATAGGAAAGGCTAGCACACGCCTTCTTTTCTCTCACACATCCTAAACGCACAACATAGAAAATGTAAACACATAACCCATTTACTTACCTCACTCTATAAACACAACTTAAAAAATGCCAACGAATGCCCTCTTTTTTGTCATTCACCTTAATGAAAACAATTAGCAAATGCTACCACACGTCCAGTTTACCAACATACATTTTCAACACACACTTTAGGAAATGTCACCAAGTTCACTCTGTTTACCTACGTACAACAAACGAGTCTTATGAAATGTCAACAAAATATCCTGTTTACCTGTGCACTTACAACAGACGAGTCTTATAAAATATCAACAAGTACACCCTGTTTATCTACATACTTGCAACAGACGAGTCTTATGAAATGTCAACAAGTACATCCTGTTTACCTATGTATTTACAACAAATGAATCTTATGAAATGTCAACAAGTACACCCTGTTTACCTACATACTTGCAACAGACGAGTCTTATGAGATGTCAACAAGTTCACCCTGTTTACCTACATACATGCAGCAGACGAGTCTTATGAAATGTCAACAAGTACACCCTGTTTACCTATGTATTTACAACAAATGAATCTTATGAAATGTCAACAAGTACACCCTGTTTTCCTACATACTTGCAACAGACGAGTCTTGTGAAATGTCAACAAGTACACCCTGTTTACCTACATACTTGCAACAGACGAGTCTTATGAAATGTTAACAAGTTCACCCTGTTTACCTACACACTTGCAACAGACGAGTCTTATGAAATCTCAACAAGTACACCCTGTTTACCTATGTATTTACAACAAATGAATCTTATGAAATGTCAACTAGTACACCCTGTTTACCTATGTATTTACAACAAATGAATCTTATGAAATGTCAACAAGTACACCCTGTTTACCTATGTATTTACAACAAATGAATCTTATGAAATTTCACCAAATACGCCCTGTTCACCTAACATACTTGCAACAGACGAGTCTTATGAAATGTCAACAAGTACACCCTGTTTACCTACATACTTGCAACAGACGAGTCTTATGAAATGTCAACAAGTACACCCTGTTTTCCTACATACTTGCAACAGACGAGTCTTATGAAATGCCTACAAATACACCCTGTTTACCTACATACTTGCAACAGACAAGTCTTATGAAATGTCAACAAGTACACCCTGTTTTCCTACATACTTGCAACAGACGAGTCTTATGAAATGTCAACAAGTACACCCTGTTTACCTACATACTTGCAACAGACGAGTCTTATGAAATGTTAACAAGTAAACCCTGTTTACTTACTTACAACAGACGAGTATCATGAAATTTCAACAACCACACTAACAAGCAAGCAAAACAATCTAACGAGTGGAAAGTAAAAGATTCAGCAATAGGCAAATTAAAATTCTTGCAATAAGCAATCAAAGTGTCAGTCGAAAGGCAAGGAAAAAATCCGACGACAAGCAGGTTAAAATTCTAGTGACAGCCAAATAAAATATCAGTTGACAGGAAAGTAAAAGACCCAGCAATAGGCATGTTATAGGTCTGACAACAAGCAAGTTATTTTTTGTCTGGCGACAGAGAAGTAATAAATCTTACGAGAAACAAGTAAGTAGATCAAGCAACAGGCGGGAAGAGGCTGTGGCGAGAAGAAAACATAACTGAGAGAGGGACGAAGTGGTTTGAAAAATAATTCTTTTGAATGGTTCTGAGTTCACTTTACAAAGAAATTTTGTATATTACTGTAAACATCGGTTTAAAAATCAAAAATATAAGTGTGTATTATACATGAGGTCCAACATTTTAATCTGAACAAAATAATTCGAATGTTTGTTATGTAGGAATATCTTGGTTTCTTTTGTATACTCTTATATTCTAATATTCTACTTCAGAGTTTAATAAAGACGTGTTAATAATTAAGCATGTTATAATTTGGATTTTCTTCTTCTTTTATTTACTTCTAGGCGTTCTCTAAGTCAGTCCTTCTCAACACAAAGTAGCTTTGATCAATCTACTGACGCGACAGTCACCGTTACGCTTCCGGCTGAAGAGGTAAGGTGATATATGAGTAATATTTCACAGTTTTCTTAGTATTCATCACGTCTTTAAACGTTTTCCTTTAAAGAAATTATGTGGCCTTTTTAAATCTTCCATAACGTTTAAATATCTCAAGAGACGGCTATTCGATAGGTGCTGCGCTTAAATGCCAAAGCTCAAGTTAAATGTCTTAAGTGTCTTACGTATTGTTAAACTTACAATAAACTTCATTAATCCAAATACTTAGTTCAGTAACGTTGTGAATAAGATGTTAAATTATTCTTGATAAATAGAAGAATTGTTTTCCTGCGCGTAAGTAAATATTTTGAGCTTTTTATTGATATGTTGGTGGAGACATCTGGTGGTAAAGAATTATTAGAGTGATACACTATTATTTACTTCTACAGTTTTGGGTTATTATCCGTGTGAAAGGACGAGTTAAGTATTAAGAAACTGCTTAGAACTCTTTCAATGTGTATATTTACTTATTAATTTTCTTTTCCAGAAAGCTATACGAAAAATGTTTCATGCTAGTTACATTTACTTTTCCGGTTTCGTTTGTTTGTTTGCTTTACATAAACAAACCTATCCGGTTTGTTTGTTAATTTTCTGCACATTATCTATATGGTTTGTCTGTTGGTTTCCTGCACATTAGCTATATGGTTTGTCTGTTGGGTTCCTGCACATTACCTATCTGATTTGCCTATTGGTTTCCTGTAAGTTACCCAACTATCATATTTATTGTTTGTCTGAGTACTTACCGTCTGTTTTTAATGGTTTCAGTACGGTTGATCTGGTTTCCTGTAAGTTACCCAACTATCATATTTATTGTTTGTCTGAGTACTTACCATCTGTTTTTAATGGTTTCAGTACGGTTGATCTGGTTTCCTGTAAGTTACCCAACTATCATATTTATTGTTTGTCTGAGTACTTACCGTCTGTTTTGAATGGTTTCGGTTTTCTGATAATTACCCATCTGCTATAGTAATTTGTTTTGTAAAGATTGATCATTACGTTACCTGTTAATTATTCATCTTGTCTGTTGATTGATTTCATAAAAATTTGTAATCTGGTTTATTTTTTTGGTTTGCTGAAGATAGGTCATCTGGTTTGTTGTCTTAGGATTGATAATCTGGTTGGTCTTTTGTTTTCTAAGGACTGATCTTCGGCATGTTTCAGGTCTTTCTGAACGTTGATCATCTCGTGTATTCTTAACTTCCTGGGTGGCACTGAAGATCATCTGGGGTATTTTTGATTATCTGTTGACTCATTAATTTCATGAAAATTGATCATCCGATATGGCCATTTGTGTTATGTTAGGTTTGGTTATGTAATCTTTTCGCTGTTTTATATAATTATCTACTAATTTTCTGAATATGGTTTTGCAGTTGATCATCTGATGTATTTCTTATATTTTCTGAAAATTGATCTTTGTGTTAGTTGATTGAATTAGTATTATTGTTACGATTTCTTCTGTTCGGTGGGTCCTTTTGAATTATTCGGTATAAAATAATGCAAAGTCCAGTCCACTTAATGATAACGAAAGCAATTTATTTCTTCGACTACAAGTTCTACATATTTCACGTACTAACCTAATGTTCACTGAAAAATAGACCAACTTCACAAACAGCACAAACCAGTCATTTAATGGCTAATTTTGTCTCGTACCTACGGCAATTTCTTGTATATCTAGTACTTCACTGAAATACAAACGCAATAATTAATATTCATCTACTGTAGCCTAACTCGCGTTAGGTAATGATAAAATCGTTTTCTAAACATTCAAGAACGTTCTAGTCATAAAACCACGCGCGTCATGCGTGTTAAACCTCCCTTTGGCAATACTACGATACAGACGTCTAAATTTAGAACATATATAGCCTACAAAAGTACTAAGTTTCTTTAAGAGGGAAACAAAGTCCGTTCATTAACGTTTTTATAGACAAATATTATGATTACTTTCTAGATGACTTTCTGTATCATAAAATGTTGGAAAATTGTATTGATTTTCTTTTCTTCGAGAGAGAGCATATCTTAACCTTGTCTTTCAGGAGGAAGTAACAATAATTTACTCTTGTTTAAAAGCGCATATTTTCATATTCTTAAATGTATCATAATATGTAAGAATAGTGTTCATCATGCTTGAAATCATACTTCGGCCTTTAGACAATGCGTTACCTGTAGGAGGAATTGAATAATTCATGTAGTACCGTAAGCTACCCTGAAGAATGGTAATTAAGTAGAAAACTGTATATAAAATATATTTTCTTCAGAGTGTCAGTATTGGTGTGAGGGAGAACATGACGGTAGAGGAAATCCTTTGGAGTGCCTGTAGCAAGAAACAACTATCCCCAAATGACCATTTCTTCCGAGCCAAAAGGAAGCAAGATGATGGCGAATATTACGTTCCTTCAAGACATGAAATTGTAGAGAACCTGGTAAGTTAAGTATTTAGCAAGTACCTTCATTTTAATGTGCTTCCGAATAGGTAGGAACCGTACATTATCAAGAAGAAATACAACTATGACGTTCTAACATTAATTGGAAACTTGATAGGATTAGATGTATCTAGTTATAATGTGTCAGCGCAGTATACTTATCACAATTGGACATAAATTTATTCCAGTTACTTTAATTTTGGATTACCTCCGTTACTGTTCAAGCTCTAGAATATCTTTAAACGTCATTTATTGTACGGTACAGTTTCACTTCTCATCATCTCTGTCTAACTGTTAAAATGCATTATGTAATATCCGTCTTCGATATCTTAAGGTTCCTAAATCTTAGGTGAAGTTCGATCTAAAATTAAGATTAATTCTTTGAACATGACTAGCGTTCAGTGAATTACATGACTCACGAAATAAAAATTGTTGGACTACATCTAGTAACACTAAGTGATATATTTCATATAAGTCTGAAACGTGGCTGAATATTAATTAGTTTATACTCTATGAACTGGGGATTATAACATCTAATGGGTTAGCATTATGATTCCATGTATGAATTATAGCAATAAATGGGTTATATTATGGCTCCCCGTGAGGATTATACCAATGAATGGGTTAAAGTGTGACCTCATATGCGGACTATAGGAATGAATGGATTATATTGTGATCTCGTGTGTGGATTATAGAAACGAATGCGTTATATTGCGACCCAAGATTATCTTTGCTTGTAAGTTACGTAAAATTGTCGTTAAAACGTCATTTGGCAGTAAACACCAGAATGACACTTTTTGGACTGAAACATGGTAATCTTCCTCTGATAACTTAAGTTGGAGGGTAGATGGTTCACGAGGAAGAGCTATAATGATTAAACTACTTCCATTCAGAGTTATCAAATACCATCAACTTAAGTTTTCAAGCCTTGGTAAGGAACTATTCTTTCCTGTTAACCCTGACTTACATATCGCACCAATATTAAGATATAGATAAATACCACGGGTTTTGTTGGTTAAGTGGGAAATAATATTTGATTTAAACTCCTTTGATTGGTACATACCAAAATCACAATGAAATATAGTTGACCATGTGTTTTATGTGTATACATGTGTGTTTCTGACAGTTGCTTTAAGAATCACTTTAATGCATATTATATTCTCTGTCACCTCTGAAAACAATAAGTACTTGACTCCTATTAGATGACGTGACGTTTCACAGATAACTGAGGAACGTTGAAATAGAAAAACTACACTAATAACATCAACAGTTCCCCTGTGGGTAGGCAGTAAGCTTATAGGCTTCCAAAGCTAAAATCCAGAGTTCGATTTCACGTGATGAACAGAGCGCAGACAGCACATTGTGTAACTGTGGGCTAAAAAAAATCTCTACACATAACAACATACTAACACTGATGGTAAACATAAGATATTCAATCAACTTACTTAGCATTATGTTGTGCTTTACGCATAACTATTGCATTATTTTTCAAGTTGCATTTCTGAATAAAGCACCATCAGTTTCTAATATATTATTTTAAAGCCTCCAGGGGCCTCGGTTTTAATCTTGAAGGCTCATAACTCTAAAATGTCAGGTTCTATCCGTACATCAGACGCTGCTCAAATAGCCCATTTAGAGCTGAATAAACTAACCAAAACTAATTTATCTTGAAATAAATCACTCCATCTGTTTGTAGATAAATCTAAACCATACTAGTTTTTACAAAAAAAAATATCCAATAATTGTTATTAACATAGTAGTCACATTTTAAGATACCTACATTGATTTGTGAACTGCTACGATTTTTTATACCAGATTTAGTTAGAACGCTGTTACTTTTATCTAGAAACGTAATAACATGTGAACGCTATAACTTGGTTTTGCTGAAAGTAAAAATAGTGATGACCTTATAGAGTCTTTTTTAAATACTCGGAAAAGATGATAGATTTTGTTCTTTGAAAAAAGTATGAAACAAGGATTAAACAGGATTGAAGAAACGAAAGCTTACTTACTTTGTCAACAGAGATTTTTAAGTCCATCAACAAATGGAAGACAACACAGAAAGAACTGAGATACGTAGACATATAAGCAAACGTAAAACGACTTGAACTGAATGAGAAAAGTAGTTCAAATGCATTTATTATACAAACACAAGAAAACTCACAGAATCTTGCAAGATCGAACATCGATAGATTAAGACAAAGTAAAGAGAAACCAAAAGAAAACTTAGATGGAACCAAACATATCTGATATTTTTCGACAGGTGTACTTACATGTCTCACGTCTTTCTTTGATAACTAGCAATTATTCAATATCGTCTCACCAGGTGTTATTTGTAAAAGTAGTCTAAAGTTTATGAATTTTAGTGCGCACAAATATATATAGTTACTTCATAATGTAAATAAAAGAAAGAGAGATAATGCCGTCTTTCCCGGCCTTCTCTGGTAGAATTTGTACAGAATAGACCAAACAGAACGCTTAATGTCACGCATGACTTTCCCAGGACAACATGTTGATTGTACTCATAAAAAACGCATGGCTGGGTGTTTTTATGGTTTCCATAGTATCTCTTACATATGCAACTACTTAACAAAATATGTTCTGATATTTTATCAGAACTGCCCAAAGACCTTCCATGTTTTGACATTCCTGTGTTCATTTTCTTTTCCACTGGTCAAATTATCACCACAGATACATTTGAAGTATTATAGTTACTACCCAGGAGCAGTTGCCAGTACCACAAAGGGTACGATAACCAAAGGTCATTATTTACTATCAGTACCACAAAGAAGATGATAACTAAAGGCCATTACTTACTATCAGTACCACAAAGAAGATGATAACTAAAGGCCATTACTTACTATCAGTACCACAAAGAAGATGATAACTAAAGGCCATTACTTACTATCAGCCCACAAAGGAGATGATAACTAAAGGTCATTGTTTACTATCAGTATGATACTGATAGTAAACAATGACCTTTAGTTATCGTGCCCTTTGTGGCAAAGGGCACGATAACTAAAGGTCATTACTT